TGGCCCGTAGCCACCTCCGCGAGAGCCGCTGAGCCGCGGCCGGGTGAGGGCAGAGGCAAAGGGGTCTTTAAAGCTCCCAACGCGGGGGTCTCCACGCGGAGGATCCTCCGTGCGGCTGCGGACGGGCCCGGGGTGGGGAGCAGCGGTGCGAGCGGCCTCTGACACCGTTGGAAACGCGAGGGGGTGGGTGCAAAGCGTGGAGAGTCTCGTTGCTTTTGTCTAAACAGAGCTAGAAACACTTATGTTTTGCCCTTATGAAATTACTGGCTCTTTCCAAGGCATCTGGAAGCTGCAGTTTGGGATGATATTACGGTGAACAGTGTAGGAATATATATACAGAAACATATAATAGTTTGTTTTTTGCACCAGTTCATTTCACCAGCATATAACCTGCTCGTTTGAGTTCCTGCTGGGCTTTTACAGTTTACCCACTCTTTTCCCAAGCTGGCACATCATCTTCCTCAGCTCTGGAGGTGAAGCTCTTCAGCGAGACGCGTTTCAGTGTCCCATATCTTGTCTTCCTTGCACAGGGCCAGGCTTGCTGGTGTTGATGTTTCCTACATAAATTTGTTCTTGGTCTCAGTTTAAAAAAGTTCTGATGCAGAAAGTGGAGCCTCTTCCACTCTCGTGAGCCGATGTGCTGATGATACCCGCTGAGAGTTTAATTTGATGCTGTAACATAAGCACTTGCTGCTGATAAGCGGCTGCTATTGGGAAACTCAAAACGATTTCAGTGTTTCCTGACCTACAGGATGACTTTTCTCCTGGGAGGAAGGAAAAGGGACATGATCTAATGCCTTGCAGCTAAGGGGGATGACTTTGATGATGCTGCAAGCAGACAAGCTGCAGTAGTATGGTCATTATGTGGGCTAAAGATACAAATTATATCCTTTAAATGATAGTTCATGGTAGCAAAGGGTTTCTGACATTGTTGGTTGGTTAGGTTGCCAGAGAGACGGCTGTAATTATGAAGTCCCTTACAGTTTGCTCAAAACGTGTTGTACTGTTACCAAAGTGTTAAATCGTACAGACTGGAAGTAACGTCCTTCTGTATTATTCTATAATAATAGAATAATAAGAGAATTATATTTCATTCCTGCATCACTTCTTTCTGGCATAAACAGGTAGATAGTTGGTATTTTCCTGTGGCTGTGTATGAAAACATTTTTTTTTGTTTGGTTGGTCGAGGTTTCAGGTTGCTCAGTGGTCTCTGTAATCAGCTCTCCTCGACTGTAGCACATTGTTGCTTTGTACTGGTCTCCCAGCTGTACTGGCCCAAGGGGCTCAAAGGGAGAGTTGTTGGGTTTTCCAGAAACAGGGAATGAGCCCTGAAGAAGAGAGTGACGTTGTTCAAAGTGCCCCCAAGCAGCTCAAACAGGACTGCAAGTTGTTACCTGGTATTTGTGCCGTTGGTTGTTTCGGTTGCCTTGCGGAACGTGAGGGCTCTGAGGCAGGTCAGCAATGTCCTCCTGACAACTCCTGGCATTTCTGGCTCACAGACCTGCATCTTTGCACAGATTTTATCACTCTGGTTGTAGAGGCCGAAGCCCGTGGATGACCAGGGGTATTTTGCTCAGAAAGCCCTTCCTTCTTGGGTCATCATCCCTGGAAAACGGGTGGCAACACCATTCCGAATGTCCTCTTAAACACATGGAACGTGGAGCAAATGCCAAACAGTCTTCCCTGGGCCTCAGGAGGGAAGTGGAGTGGATCAGATGTTTCTCGTTCCAATTTCAGTGACCGAAACTGGTGTCTCCTTCACTGCCTCCTTGCACAGTTTGTCCAAAACCCCCTTTGATTTGTTTTCCTCTTTCTATCCCTCAGTTGTTCCTTCCGTTTACACCATTTACATGGGAAAAGATAAATACGAAAGTAAGTATATTAATATGTTTGAGAAGCTCCTAACAGATTGGGTTTGGATTTGTGGGGTTTAACGCTGTTTGAAAGAAGGTCTTTTTTTGTGTGTTGAATTTGTATATTGTTTAAAAATGCTTCCACCCTTGCAAGTTATTATGACTTACACATGTGGAATTTGTAGTGTTAGTTTTAGCAAGGATAGCTAAAGTTTTATGATCCTCCAAATAACATAAATAAGAATGATTTAAATAAACTGAAAAAATTGTAGATAAAAGTTGCTGCTTTTTGGTTTGTAATTGATGATCTCCCAACTTCTGCTTAGTCTGTGTTTCTGTGCTCCCCAGTGGTTGCTCATACCCATAGGTTTTCTCTTCCTGTCCTTCCCCATGAGCTGAAGGTTGCAGCTTTGCTGCATCTCCTGTTTCCAAATCAGCACCTGATGTGAAACTGGGATATCTCACTCTGAGTGAGGAGAGTTTGTATTGCTGTCCTGAAGACCTTCTCCGAAAGAAACTCCATCTCCATTAGTTAGATACCTGCAGAAATATTTTAATTTAAATTTTTTGGAACACTGTGATAGAGGTGTGTCAGAGGAGAGGGGAAATAGGACGTATTTGGAGTCTGGGTTTGCCAAAGCCGCTGTGTATTTTGGAAACGGTGACTCTTAGCATGGGGGTTGTGTCCTGCTGCAGTCAGCGACAGCGTGCAGGCCCCGTTCTGCTTCTGTGTAACTTCTGGGCAGTGTCTAACCTTGCTCGTTGCTGCTTTTATTCTTGCAGACGAAGACCTAATAAAATACGGCTGGCCTGAAGACATCTGGTAGGTACTGGAGCACCTTCTGCATGTTCCCGTGCTTGGAAACAAATTGCCTCTCCCGAAGCAGCCGGGTTGAGTGATCGCATCGGCCTCCTCCCTTCCACAGCCTCCCTTTCCCAAGGCCAGTTAGCAGCTTAAATGCAACCCCAGGGTTGGAGGTCCAAAGGTGGCATGAATTCAGTTACCCCTCCTGTCCTTGAAAGGGAAGTGGGTGATATCAGGAGTAGAAAGTAGGTTTTGTAACTTGTTTTTCATTTATTTTTGCCGTGTGAGCTTGAGACCAGTCATATAAGTCATATAGCAGCACTTGCTAAAGAGTTTGATAGTTTGCTGGTTCTCCTAGGAATATGCACCAAAACACTGCACATGGAGACTTATCCACTGAGTGTTGTCTGAGGGTCGACTATCGCTTAAAACAGGGAAGGAAGGTTTGTTTTTTGCTCTCATTAAGGTGCTGCTTCTTGAAGGATAAGCTCAGGCTTCCTGAGGTGTTTCTAAGTGCCACGAACATTCCTGCAGATGTCTTTTCCATGGAGTGGCCGCTACTTCGCTTGTTGGGAAGTAGACCTTTGGGAACAGATTGCCAACTCGCAATTAAATGTGCTTTTTTGTTTTATAGGTTTCATGTGGATAAGCTCTCCTCCGCGCACGTGTATCTGCGGTTACACAAGGTAATCCTGCAGCTCTTAATGAGTCCTAATTAACGTTTGCCCGCGTAAGAATTGCGAGGAGCTGCTCTGCAGCGAGTGCCTCTTGCCTGCATGAAGCTCTAGAGTTAGGGGCTCCCTCAGGATGCAGGTAATGACCATGTGGAGAGGAGGAATTTACAGCCTCCGTTACGAAATGCTGGGAGGAGCGGGGAATTTAATGGGCCCAGGACTGTCGAGCGAATGATTTCTGGCCTGACACCAGGCGTGTGCCTAGAAACAATTTCTGCACTGAAATGGGGAGGATATCATTAGGAAAAGCAGGATGCGAGTCGCTGTGGTGCTCGGAGCCTCTCCTTACAAGCTCTGTGTCCTGTAAAACCTGCGGTGTGGGATATTCTGGGTGCGGAGCCGATCCCTCGTCCTGGCCTCGGTGCTCACGTCGCGTTGCTCTGTCGCAGGGGCAGACGGTGGATGACATTCCCAAAGAAGTTTTGATAGACTGTGCCCACCTAGTGAAGGCCAATAGCATTCAAGGTAATATTAATTACTGATACAGGGAGGTACTAATTGATACCGGGAGATACTAATTATCTTGGGGCTGCTGGGGTGTCTGTTGGGAGGTAGGAGAGAATATGTGGGGTTTGGATCAAGGCAAGTTTCTGCATGTTCTCCGTGCCGGCCGCTCTTACGGGAAGCGGATGCCGCTCCCGGCTGCCGGGGCTGCCCGTTGCGCTCGCGCAGGGAGGAATTCTGAACGTCCTGGATTCCTGGTGGAGCCTCCACGCCGCTGCCGGAGCCAAAGGGGCCGCCTCGGCACCGCCTGGGGCCCCGTGCGCCGCGCTCGGTCCTCTGGCGCAGATCCATCTGGATTTCATTAGCGCCGCTGCAGCGCTCGCGTTACTGCGGAACACGACGCGGTCGGTTACTCCGTTCTCCTGTGACACTGGGAGCACTTTGTCCTTTCCGCTGCTTTCTTACCTGGCTGGTAACGGTGGGGAGTCAATCACGCAGCTTTTCCACGCTCACTTTTAAGACGTTTTCTCTCTTTCTTTCCCCCTGCTTCTTAGGCTGCAAGATGAACAACGTCAACGTGGTTTACACGCCGTGGACTAACCTGAAGAAGACTGCGGACATGGATGTGGGGCAGATTGGATTTCACAGGCAGAAGGATGTGAGTGCCGGGTGCCAGCAGGTCACCTTCACTGACAGGCTGCAAGTTTTCCCTGCCCGTAACGTTCCTGCAGTAGGAGGTAGGGAAATTGTCTTCAGCTCTTGCCTTGGAGCAGGAGACAATCTCCCCTGAAAGCTCAGAGAGACCCCAGGAGATGCGTTTGGATATATGAAAAATAAATTGAAAGCCCGTGGCTGGAGTGCACAGCACGTGTTTCAACCAGCAGCCTGTGCAGCTGATGCAGAACGGTATGAAGTGTCAGGCTGTGCTGTGTGCTCGAGTTTATCGCTGTTGACAACATATTTTAACTCGCTGCAGACGGACACCTGCATATAAAAATGTTGAGAGGCAACTTCTTAGCTTTGGTGTGGGCTCGGGCGTCTTCCCAAGCCCCAGTTAGTGTCCCCATGTAATGTTAGGCTTAAACTGGTAGTGTCACAGCTTGGCTCTCAAGAGAGGCAGCTGTTAGGATAAAACACATCTGTGCTGGGGCAGGAACGGGCCAAACCAGCAAACCCCTCCAGGCTACAGAACAAGAACTGCAGGCTACAGAAGCTCAACATGCGAGTTTCTCATGCCAAAAAGGTCTGCAGAGATCTGCTACCAGCTCTTTAGGGATCAGCAGAGACCAGTGCTCGCTGCCTGGCCTCTGTTGAGACATGCAGCAAGAAAGCAAATTGGAAATGCTTACGCACCCAGCAGTGCTTACACGTGGTGGATACAGCTTAGGGGTGCTGGGAGTGGGTCACTCTTTGCTGTTACACAACCTGCTGAATAGGCTGAGGTGGCAGTTATTTTTCTTAGCATCTGTTTTTGTGGGTTTCAGTCATGTGTAAAGCAGAAATAGGGTGTTTTCTTTCCATTGAGAAAGTGCCAAAATAGAAGTATTTTTTTATAAGGATCATAGCTCTTTGCAATCCAAAGGTGAAAATGCTGACGGTGGAGAAAAAGGTGAATGAGATACTGAACCGCCTGGAGAAGACCAAAGTGGAGCGTTTCCCAGACCTGGCTGCTGAGAAGGAAGCCAGGGACAGAGAGGAAAGGAACGAGAAGAAAGCCCAGATCCAGGAGATGAAGCGGAAGGAAAAGGAAGAGATGAAGAAGAAGAAAGAGCTGGAAGAGCTTAGGTGAGTAATAAATTGCAGTGCCAGCTTCCAGCTCGTGCAGTTTCCATCAGCACAGGGGGAGAGTCGTGGGTCAGCAGCTCCGACGGGGCTGTCTGCACGGCCGAGTGGTTCCCTTTGTCCTCAATGAATGCGCTTTCCCAACTGCTCCTAAAATAAACCCGGATGTTAAGCCATTGTTGGAAAGAAGAACTGTGTCTTTTCGTGCTTGTCCTCGGGGGAAGTTTGGCAAGGTGCTTGGCTCTGCCTGTGCGCTGGGAGGAAACTCGTTAGGTAAAGCTGAGCATGAGGTAAAGCTCCACGTTGCACCACGATGGGAGCTTAAAACCTGTGCGAATCCTCAGTCTTCCCTAAGCCACTGCACAGTGCTTTAAACAAAGAGCGAGTGTTTTGAAATGCAGGATTGACCTTGCTGCCATCTGAGTCAAAACATGCAGCAACGCACGTGGGTTTGCGCCTCGGCACCGGATGCACCAGCTCACTGGCCCCAAAAGCTTGCTTTTAATGTGTGAAATTCCTTTTGTCACAGTAAGTCATGCTTATCTGTACATGATTGTGAAAGAGGTATTTGAAAAACCTCCTGTGTCTTGCTGAGTGATTCAGAGATCAGCAAGAGGAGGACTTGGCTAAGAGTAAGAGAAGTTACCAGCAGGCTCGTCCATGTTACAGAGCAAGGGGCCTGCCTGCCTGCTTGCCCTTCTGCCACAGCTGATCCTTGACCGTCCCCCCCAAAAAGTAAAGGGTTTTCTTCCTCCTGGGATTATCTAGTTGGTAGTTTCTAAGCCAAACCGTGGAGATTGTGCTGGGCTTTCTGCAGCCAAACCGTGGGAGAGTGGCAAGCATTGGTCTAGCCTGTCTGAATTTAGAAAGGCAGAGCCTTCTTCTGGTCTCGTTTTATCAAAATACTCCTTTGCTGGTGGCTTCTAAACACGAGATGTTGTGGTTTCCCTTTCAGGAGCTACTCGTCGCTAATGAAGGCTGAGAACATGTCCTCTAATCAGGTGAGCTCTGGTGCCACAGGAGCCTTTTGGGGATGGGTGAAGGACAGGGCCCTTTAGCCACTTCCCATTTCAGAGTGTGCAATGATCCCAATTTTCCTTTTTTTCTGCAGGACGGCAACGACTCGGATGACTTCATGTAAATAAGGTCTCACCTTTCTCCACCTTGAGGGGATCTGGGATGTCTTCGTGTGTGACCGTCACCAAGAATGCCAAAAAAAAGAGCGAAAAAGCAAACTCTGACTTCATTTCTTCAGAACCCAGTTGGTTCTGCTGGTGCTCTGACCAGCTCTGTGCCATGGACAACCTTTGAGCAGAGAAGATCTCCATATCTGCACATGCATCTCTCTAAGGGACGCGGGTGGAAGAAAAAAAAAGAGAATCGGATTTCAGTCCACAAAGACGATGATATTTATTGCGGGGAAGGTGTTGGTTTGGCTTTTAATCCAGAGTGGTTTAAAAAAAGAAATAGAAAAGCAGTTGTGCTGTCTCCTTGCTGTCCCGTCGGCACTGAGACTGCACCAGCCCCGTCTGCACGGCCGGAGCATCCCGGGGAAATGGGGCCTCATCCCGACACTTTCGCATCCCTGCCCGGTCCCGGCTGCTGGGAAATCTCAGGCCATGACGGTGCTGGTGCAGCCCCAGCCTGTGCCCCGCTGGCACGAGGTGAGAATACACCCACGTTGCTTTTTGTTTTTCTTTAATTGCTTTTGGTTTCTGGGCCGTTCCCTGGAAATCTCCTCTGGAGCGCGAGGAGCCGGCAGGGGAGAGCCGAGTTTTGCACAGTTCGGTTCCGAGCGCTCTGCAGGGCGCCGCGAGGAGCGCGTACGGAGCAGCACCTGTATCTGCGTCACCAATAAATTCATACCATGCTGGTGCCACGTCGCTTTTAAGAGAGGGCTGCCTCCTGTGTTGACATGGGATGGGGCGTTGGGGACAGAAGCCTTTCCTGGCACCCCCTGCGCCATCCTCCTGTGTTGCTCCGTTTCTCTCCTTCCCCTGTCTGCTCCCGGGGAGGCCCGTGTTTGCGCACAGCTCCTCTGATCCCGGGATAATTCCTAACCCTTCTTAGCTTTCCCACATCCTGGTCCAGGGTGGGAGCTGCCTGCTCTTCCCGAGCCCCCAGCACTGTCACCCTGGGACTGGGGGACCTTTGCGGGTATCCGAACTTGGGCGACAGAAGGTGAGGCCGGGATTTTCTTCCCGGCTCCAGCCCCACAGCTCCTCCATGGGAGCCAAGTGCTGGGAGGTGACAACCAAGATGCCCCAGGGTGAGCACAGGGGACCCCGACCCCTGTCCCCAGCACCGCTGGGGTTGCTGAGTCACAACCCCCCAGCCCCACACGCAGCCAAGGGGCCCAGGAGTCCGGGCAGCGCAGGGCTGGGCTGGCTGCCCAAGTGCGGCCGCTGCTGCCTCCTCCTCCTCCTCCTCCTCGCCGCAGTCAAAGGGCCCTTTCAGCAACCCCGGCCCTGCAGCTGCACCGTGTTGGGCTTGGCGCCAC